CCTTATTAGGAAAGATATATTTTTTATTATAGGGAATGCTTATTATGCAGTCTTAGTAGGAAATATGCTGCTTTTTTATAAAGTTTAATTCATCCACCAATTTTTAAGTGCGTTAATGTTGAAACGTTCATCTTTTAGGTGAGTTCATCAATAAGCGCTCCTTCGTTATGCGGTTCAGTTGTTGAATCAGGAACTCAAAACTCATTACGAAATGTGTCTTTAGTGAGAGATACAAATGAACGGGCTGTGGAAATAGCAAGTGGATCGAACAGTCATATTTCACCTAATGGTACCGTCGTAGCACCAGAAAAAATCGGAAGGCCAGGATTTCGGCCAAAAATAAATCTTGAATTAGATCATCCAGATATGTTATCAGGAATTCCTCAACAACCGCCGCAACCACCAATGATGGGGATGATGAGAGCACATCAGCGTTTTGGTGTGCCACCATTTCGTGATAGTGTACCAATTATTGATAGCAGTCGTGGTGCACCATTTATTGATGAACGTGGATTGCCATTTCCAAATAGTAGGATTGTTTCGTTATATGATGATGGTCGATTACCATTCCACGAATATGAACATCCACAAGGTGATGAAGCCATCCGAATTCGGCATGTTTGGAGCACACGGCCATCAATTACTCAAAGGAGGTTTTTTTTTTCAATTTATGTTTTCTTGTCTTTCCAGTTTTACTTATATGCAGTTCTGTTACATTGAAAAAAGGAAGTGTTTCAACTTGAAATGTTCAAAAACTTATTGCATTCCATACATGACAGATCTTTCTCATTTGCAGAATGTTGCAACCAGGAGTTTTTCGTGATCGAAAGCGTACTGCAGTTGGTATGCCCGCTGGACGGATTTATGGAACGGAAATGTGTGATCGTTCGCGTTCTCCATGCGGTGGTTCAAAGCCGTTAGTTGTAAATAGCAGCTGTGAAACTGGTAGGTACTTTTGTCCATTGTCATTTTTATTTCAAATTGGATTATAAACATTTTTTTTTTGTCTTAATGAATCGTATACCGTTTATCTCATGAGCTTTCTGCATCTCGGTTTTAAGACTACATTTCCTGACTTTATCCACGGTGATAAATGTATGTTATTTTTTTTAATAAACGAGGGAGATGTCTACATAAACATGAAAGAAAAAAAAAGGAAAGTGAAAAAATTATGACTGTCAGTACTTTTGATTCATCAAAAATTTTGTAATTTTTTTGTTATTTTTCTCCCGAAAGAAATTTTGAGAAATATGTAGTTGGTGCGTTTATGATACTTTCAATAAATAATGATGTAATTATTGTTTCAGGTGCTAGTACTACGACTACACCAAATGCTAATGCAACTCATGTGTCATCAAATAATGACGTGGAACAAAATATAGTATTAGTTGATGAAAACAGCGAACCAGGGACCGATAAGATCAGCCATTGTTAAAGTTTTTGTCATTTTTCGCCACTTTGTTCACTTTTTAGTTTATTTTGATATTATAAAAATATTTTATCGAAATGTTTCATTATTGTAATTCAATGCATGTGATCTTGGCATTATTCTTACTTAGCAGAACAGGCTGTCGTACTTTTTCAAATGTTTATTTCAGTTAGATAAAGAATAAGATTTAAATATTGTATTAAAAAAAGGAAGAAGAGGAAGTATTGGAATAGTTTCTTTAGAGAGAAATAGAACTATGAAGAGGCCCATGTTCGAAAATCCGAAAATCAAACGGCAATCCGGTCTAAGCTTTTCTCATAGCGTGATTTTTTTGATTATGGAAGTTTTAGTGAAGCTCAAACCGTAGTTTATTTCGCATCTGACTTTACGAAATTGCTAGAAGAAAGTCTAGATGACGTATCATGACATTTATCTTGGTGAATTTTTTGTCCTTTGGGATTCAAGTGAATTAATAAATTAGAAATGGAAATAGTTCCTGTATGTCTCAATAAATCAGTTGAGAAATTTAGGTTCAGTTGCAGTTATATCCTTCTTCGATGCCTTCCAACAGAGATAAAGAGAAAAAAAGAAATGTTTTTGAGCATATAAATACTTGGATAAAACGAATAAAAGACGTTAATATAATGTTATTATCAGACATGCATTTCCATCACTTTTCAGCCACTTTATTTAAGAATTAATGTGAAGCGCAGTTATATATATATGGGTGTATATAGCAAATTTATGCCATTAGTGGGATGTGTTATATTTGCTAAAGCATAGTTTTATCACTAAAGTCGAAATGGATTGAAACTGGGTTTTGACGATACTTTAAGACTGTGTACGAATAATTGACAAGCTGAGATATGTGGTTGGATTAACACTTATGTGAAACTCCTGTGAACGAGTAAATGTTTGTAAGATCAGAATTGTTTCGATTTGTACTTATGGTGCTGTATCCAGAAGAAAATTTCAGAAAGTAGCCATTTATTGAAGTAGCCGAGGATGGAATGAATGAGTTGTTAATTGTACGAGTGATGTACGTTTATTTATTCGCGATTTTTCATTTGTGATTTTATCTAACATTAACTTGCAAGGTGCGAAGAAAATTTGCTTGTCCTATTTCAAACTTAATTAATTTGAAATAAAAATGGCAGCATATATTTTTTCAGTTATATTGTAATTAACATTATTGGTACTATTATCATTCATTTTGTTACATATTATCTGTGTTTCAGTTAAATTATTGGAAATGTCAAGAAAAAAGAACACAGTTGTTGAATGTTCGAATTGCATCTGTTACGTACATGCAAAAAATTTGGGTCTGCATCAGGTATGTTTCAGTTGACATATTTACTTATTTTGCAAGATAATGTCAATTATAGTTTAATAAAGTTTTGCGTTTGTTGGTGAAATTTATTTTTTGCATTATTCTATCTGTCATTATGAGTAAAATAGTACAAATGGATGGTATATTGGATTATTTGCTGCGTATTTAATTGCTAGAATCGAAATCATCATTTATATATTTATGTAATTTATTTATTTTCAAGAAAGAATGTTCGGGAATCAAAGAATATAATGGGGAATTTTTGCTTACCTCCAGTATGAATATTATTGTACCACATGTTGGTGCGATTGTTACCAGTCAGAGTTTAACAAATGCAGCAAACTTTTTACCACCTGACGTAATCGGTTGGGAAAAATGGAATACTGTTTTAATGCATCCAGAAACAATGGCTAAACTTCACATATTACCTCGTGCACCTTGTTGGTTAACAAATATCGGTGCTAATGGTGACAACAATATTATTGGTGTGCAATGCGTAACAGTTTGGCCATGTGATGAGGTATTTGGAAATTGTTTACTGCCTTCAAATGAATTTTTTGCTTATTTTTCAAACTATAACTTGAGATTAATGTTGTGATTTTTTATTGCAGTTCCATTAATCTATGTTTTTACGAATGAAAACTTTTGGAAAGGAAACTTTTGGAATTTTTCATTTGAAATTTTAAATAAAAATATTCGGGTAACGGTAATATGTTTGATTTGTGATTGGCATGTATTAATAAATAATTCATTAAGTTTAGGTCAAGGAAATACATATTTTCTTTCAAAAGGCTCGAATTAATGTGAAGTATCGGTTAAATGTTGTGAGTACCGAAAACATTAGAAAAGTTTCAATTATACAATTGCGTCCATCATCTGGAAAACATTTTTTGCCAATTTATGCCAAAAAACATTTCCGGTAAGCAAGTATTAGATTTTCATTCAAATTAATCATAATGATTTTTATAACGATGATTAAAAGTCTATTGTTTTATCTGATCGACCTGACTGTGGTGAACTGAATGAGAGGAATTTCATGGCTCTAAATGAATGGTATATTTAGATGAACTATCTTTTTATATGTAATTAGAAAAACTTATATTATAGTGGAATAAATATTGTTTCGAACTTTGTCGATCAAATTTCCAGAAGGCATTACACTAGAATTTTAAGTTTTATATCTGCTACTAGAAGAGTGTACTGCAGTAGCTGAATGCGAGCTTGCTAGAATTAAGAGGAAGCCAAAAGGGATATGGTAAAAGCAGTTATATATTGCACGAATTATAAAAACAAAAATTGAAGAAGTAAATTGATCGAGATTTTTTTTAATTTAAAAAATTGTTGAAGAAATTTTCATGTCATTTTCAGTGATTATGTGGCGATTTACCTATGCAATGGGTATTTAGGAATCAATGTACCGGTATACATTTATTATTATGGACAAGAGCATAGCTTCGATATTGTGTTATCGGAAACAGAAATGTTGAAAATGTTAAAAATTTCATCCGATTTATCATCAGCCATGTTGCTAAGACCCAAACTGGATTGTGCCTATCACGTAGTTGACAATGCGGTAACATCAACCGTTTCCTCTCCTTTAACGTTTAAAGAGTTTGGTGGAGCGGAAAATGCTAAGAAGGAAATTGAAGAAGTCTTGATAAAACCATTAAAAGGGTGTGTTGATTGAATGGCTTTGTTACTTGTTTATTCGTTTTAGGGAATGCGTATAACTAATTCTCTTTACCCATAGACAAGAATAACTGTCAAACAGAATTAGTTTCATAATGCGGTAGTTTAACACGGCAAATGGATTAAGTGAAATAAGTTAAATTTCATCAAAATCAAGTAATTTCTGGGCTTCATATACCATTTTTAATAAGTGTTTTTTATAATTGATAATTTTACAGCAAGTTATTGAAAACTTTTAGTAGTGTAAACTAAGTAAAGATGTTAGAAAATCTTAAATTTTTTCTTTCAGAGGAAAGGAAGCATGTTCAGTGATTTTATCAGGATATACAGGGTGTGGAAAAACGTTATTTTTACATATAATACAAGAGTGTTTGCAAAATAAAGCTCTTTGGTTGTCGAAGAGAGAGTTTGAAGATTTTCTCGAGAATGGCGCTGTAAATTATGACCAGAAAATGGCGTTGTTGGTGGACGATTTCGACAACATGAAACAGTACAATGAAAAATTATGCAAGTAAATGTAGTAAATGTTTTATCTGCATTCATATATGTTTCCAGTAACAAAATAATCAAAAAGTATTACAAAAAATCATGAGTTTATGAGAATGAAGTTTAATGTAAATGTTACAATGTTCATTTAATTCAATGTATGTAAGTTATTAGCCAATCTTTTTTCTATAAAATTTAGTTTTATGGATACATATACGAATTTCTCATTCGTATTAGCAGTACGTAATGTCGAAGCCATTGATCTGCCATTGCGAGGAAGATTTCCGTGTGAATTAGAATTACTGGTGCCATCATTACCGGAAAGAATGGAAATTCTACATTTGTTGCTAAAAACGAAACAGTTAAAATTATCCTCAGCTCAAGAACTGATAAAAGATATTGCTCAGTAAGTCTTTTAATTATCATATTATTTCAAAACTTTGTAAAGAACTTGGTGATTTTATTTTGCAATCAGTTTTTATTCCGATATTTTCAGGAAAAGTCACGGTTATACGGGTGGTGATTTGAAAGCAATTGTTCATCGTGTCTGTACCAATTTTGAATTTACCGGTGATAAGAGTGAATTATTTCAATGTTTCGATGTTGCACTGAAGCGCATACGTCCAACGGGTATTCGGCAGTTTGTACTTCAGGTACCTGATATCAGTTGGGAAGACATTGGAGGAAATCGGGAATTGAAGATGAAAATTGAACAGGTGGATAACTTCATTTATTTATTCCTCTTTGCACATTAGATTAGGAACAACTTCGATTTTATATCGTAAGAGAATTGCTGTTTACTCTCGAGATTTATTTAGATTATGCTAATTTGTATCTTCTGGTAAAAGATTAGTAACTTCATTTTATTCAGGCAATTTTATGGCCATATCGATACCCGGAAATTTTCAAGCGTTTCGCTTCGAAGCCTCCATCTGGTATATTATTATATGGACCACCCGGTTGCAGCAAAACTTTAATAGCACGAGCAATTGCATCACAGTCACGCATGAATTTTTTAGCAGTAAAAGGACCGGAATTGTTTAGTAAATGGGTTGGCGAATCGGAAAGAGCCATACGAGAACTTTTCAGGCGAGCTCGGCAGGTTTGTTGCGATATCGATAATTGTTTATTTTGACAGTAAACAAAATACGAAATTTGCATCACAGAATAGTTTATTAGTCTTGGGTGACTACGTTAATCTTCAGTAATACCTTGTTCAGATGACGCATTTATCAATGTTCGAAAACTGAGATAGTTGTAGCTGTTTCTTTGTTCGAATTTGAACATATAGATTTTAAGCTCTGAATTTATGACTTTTTTTCTCAGGTAGCTCCGGCTATTATCTTTTTCGATGAAATCGATGCAGTAGGTGCAAATCGAGGAAATCAAAACGAGAGCCATGTTGGCGAACGCGTATTGACACAGTTGCTTACCGAACTTGGTAAATTTTTTTTTTGAATTAGTTTTTGAGCTTTGAGCTATTATTTTTTTTTTGGAAATTTCTTTTGAGGAAGTTGGAGTGAAATTTTTCAGATGGTTTGGAGGAAAAAGGTGATGTACTGGTGCTAGCAGCTACCAATCGACCCGATAGATTAGACAGTGCATTACTAAGGCCAGGCAGATTTAATCTCACCATTCATGTCCCTTTGCCAGACGAAGAGACTAGGTAATTGTTGATGTTAATTAAGTGTATTGTATTCGTTAGTTAACTATAAAAGTCGTTAGGAAAATTTACGAAAATACAAAAAACTGAAATAAAATTTTACATGGTTTATTGAAAACGTTTGAAGTTATTTTCAGAATTCCCTTGGAAAAACGTTTTCATTTTTCGACGGTTTTAGGCTTGATATTTTGCGTATTAGATTGAATCAAATGAAAGTTAGCATTGATTTGGATGTGGAAGATATGGGTAGAAGAACCAAAGGATTTTCTGGTGCTGAAGTAGTCGAACTTTGTAATCAGGCCGTACGTGAAGCGTTGCTCGAGAATAGAAATGCTGATAAGCTTGAATTTCGACATTTCGAGTAAATTATCTATTCTTCAAATATTTATATAAAATTATTTTCTTCTTGCCACACGAACTAATGATCTATGTTGGTCGTTTAGGGTAAAATAGCGTGAGATATGGATAGCCTAAGCAGAGGGTAAGGTGAAGTTGACATCATAGGCTTCAAAATTTGGAAATGTGTCCGGTATTTAACTGTTTCATCATCGAATGGTTTACTAAATGATGGAATAAATTTAAATATAATAGCTAATGACAAAGTTTTCACTGATGTTGATTTTTGAGACATTTAAGAGATTTTTCTAAAAATATTTTCAAATTTTAATCATATTTTTAATGACTAAGAAAGTTATTTTCCGGAAGTATATTTAAAATTCCAAAAGTCTTTCAGTCAAGCATTGAACGAGATTATTCCGCGAACTCCAAATTGGCTGTTGAGTATTTATGAAGAATTTAAAAGAGGAGCCACATTGGATGTGATCTAAGTTATCTCAGTTATCATTACTTCATTGTTTTTTTGCAATCTCTTTGTTTCAGTACTTTAATTATGAATTTGTTTTCTATTATTGCAATACCAGAAGTACAAAAATATTCAAATTCTTATTTATAATGGCTTATATTACGAATGTTGCTGAGTATCCATTTTCGAAAATAGTTATTTACCTTTAATGAAATTTAATGAGATGATTTGTGCAGAATTTTTTATTGAATTCAATTGTTGGTTAATCTTTTACCGAAACATATTTTCCATCGTTAAAGAAATTTTGATTTGAAATTTTTTTCTATTTGGAGAAAAAAAATTTTGCTTGACACACTTCATTTACTTTGTTTACCGTATGCTTCTCTCCGCTATAAATTGAGAAATGATACTTTTCCTGATTCATTTGCTATCTTACTTTTGTTTTCTTTCTGTTAATGTGTAACTTTGTTATTACAGTACAGTAAATGATTAATCTAAAGTTTTACGCACCAGGAAATCCCAAAAATTAAAAGTATGCGAAAGTTACTCTGCAACGGTCCAATATACGTAGATCGTGTGGTACCACATTTAAGTATATATCTCTCTTTTAATGATTTCAGTTTATTAATAGTTATATATCTGTAAGACTAAAATAAAGATTTTGACCTTTTAATGACTTTTTCTGAAAAACCATTAAAACATGTCCGTTAATGTTATGAAGGGAATATATTGAAGGAATTCAAATAGCGTTGTTCATTATTTGTCGGAGAAAATATTCGTTCTATTAAATATGATATGAGTATGATATGATATGGCTAATTTAATTTATTTTTATAATGAAATGAGTTTTTACAAGAAGATATTAACCATTCATAAAATTCTAAGCAGAAATAAATAGAAGAAAATGTCATTTAACAAACGACAAAATTTAACATTTTCGTGTAAAATTTTTTCTTATTCTAATTCTTCAAAATACTAAATTTGGAAATATCCATACTCAAAATATATTGAGGAGGTTTATCAGTGGAATGAATGGTATTATCAGAGAGTTTTTCATTAATTTATGAAAATGGCATTATTGGAAAGGAATGTTTTTAGAGAGGATGATTATTATTTAAATATATCACATATACGATAGTGAAAATTTCACTTCAATTTGGAGAATAAATGTTATTCTGTTGTTGGTAATTGAAAAATGTCACATATTTCAAAAAAGAGAAATATGAATATTAAAATTGGAATTATTGCAATATTATTTTCACTATCATTTTCTTTACTTTAATTGATAAAAAAAATTTCGTATAGTTTATAAATCTAATTTTCCGGACTCAAAACGAAAAAACCGACAATGAATTATTAATGTAGGATGTATGATTACGATATTATCGCTATTATATTACCATATCAAAAATGCTTCAAAAATCCCTGTTAGCCTCTCTCCATCAAACATTTTTTTTTTCCTTTTATGCCAAAAAAAAGTGATTCTTTATTTTCGATGAAGTACAACTGAACATAAATATAGCACTTTTATTAATGCATTTTTCAATTCATCTTTTATCATCCTAACACTTCATTTTTTTTTCAGTTCCAATTTTTCCTATCAGATATTTCTGGGAAAAAATGGAATTTTACAGTGAATGATTATTGTGTGGCATTCAGTCATCATTTTCTTTTTTTTTTTGTTATCATTAATTACTTTTTAGGCAAATAAAAGAATATGGGTTTTCTTCTTGGAAATCTGGAATTTTTTTGAGTTTAATTGATTTAAAATTATATATCTTGTAGATGATGTGATGTTTAATCAATTACTGAAAAAATCAGCAAACAAAAATTTTGCATTTCAAATTAATTAATCTAGCAAAATGATATGCTGCAGTCATTTTGTATTATTTGTACACTCATTTTTTTCCAGTTCTTTACATTTAAAATCAATTTTCTTTCATTAAAAATTTTGAAATTTGTTCTTCTTTCTTTCGAAACGCAAACTATTCGAGATGAATCAGCAATAAAAGATGATGGAAAATTGGCGAAGAACAACTGGCATATTTTGGCTAAAATTACTTAAAAATTTCAACTTTCCCAGGAAAATTTCTTCCTTTTAAATTATTGAATAATTTTTGCTTCATATTTATCTCCATTTAGCGGATTTTCCATACTTATGTTAAAATTTTAAATCACAAACTAAACTTATTTCTACTCGTTGCTAGGATGAATTTTAAGCATTGTAAAAATGTTAATCCTCAACGTTTTGTTTTTAATTTCATTTATTCATTTCAACTTGCCTAAATTTTTATTTCATTTCAGTCTTTTCTGCACCTTATTTTTTAATCTTCTTTTTCTTTCAAATTTATATTGAAAAATTTTTTTTGCAAAGTCAGCAAAATTTATATTGAAAAATTTTTCTTTGCAAAGTCAGCAAAATATATATTGAAAAATTTTTTTTGGACTAATAAACTTAAATAAAAATTATTTTTTCTTCTTTTTATTATGAGGAAATTTGTTGCATTCAGATTAAATTGGGAAAATATTTAAGGATAAGAGCATTTCCAAAATTGTCACAATCATTATTTAACTTTCATAACAAAGAAACTTGAAGCTGTGACTTTTTAGCATAATTAAATTGTTCCTTTAATCTCTTTATCCTTTTCTTCCCAATTACAAATTTGTATGTTCAAATTTCAATATCACTTTAATTTATAGACATTTTACTGCAATAAATAGTAGGTAATTGATAACAGTTTTCTTTTCTTTTATCATATTCTATCATTAAAACGGTTAAAATGTTGGCCAAAATGTAAACGATATTTTAAACACGAATCTGTGAAATTTCATTTTAGCATGCAATTTCCAACAGCAAAACTTCTTATTACCGGAATTTTTGTAGTACTCGGAGGTGGCTTTAATTTTGGTTTTCAAATATCAATTATTAATCCGATGGGTAAACCGTTGGAACAATTCTTAATACAGTCTTTAGAAAGGTCATGTGATTTTTTTCTTTTGGTATTTTCTTTCTTTTTGACAATGAAAATGGAAAAAAAAATCATACGCTATTAATTAATGTCAAAGAATTAACTTAAGTTATTTCAATTTTGAAACTATGATAATTTCTTGAAATTTTAATTTTACAAAGCACGAAAAGTTACTGATAAAATTTTGCACAATATTTTATTCATTTCAGTAAAACGATGACATCAGCCAACTATTTGAAAGTAATTTAAAAAATAACAGTATTCAAAAATGAACTATCCAAATAAGAATCTGGAATTTAGTCCATCAGAAAGTTTTCCATCAAGTACTTATTTCACTGAAAAGCACATATCTGTAAATGATTTCAGCTTGTCAAAATCATCCATGCAAAATTTATTTGTCAAAATTATTAGCTTAAAATTTAATCATCTAAAAGGGCACTCAAACTATCAATACCCAAATTAGCAAAAATTATTCAAATTATCCGCTTGAAATTTATCAAATCAATTTCTTAAATCGATTTTTTTCGTTATATTATTAATAATCTATTAATATCCAATGTTACTCATTATATCAATGACTGAAGTTCTAAAGATATTTCATTTGCAATATTTTACACTATTGTATGCTTAATTTTTGATATTACTGTGAATTAATTTAAAGTTAACGAAATTATTCATTGAAATTATTTTTTTTTATCAAAATACTTATAAAAGTATGCTTATCAAGACTATTCCCTAATCAAAATAATTGTTAAATTAAACTTATCGCTACATTTTGTCATGAAGTTCCTATCATTCTCTTATCAAAATACTTGCAAAATTAAACTTATCAAAATTATTATAGAATCAAACTTACCAAAAATTAATTTTTTTGTTAAATTAAATTTGGTAACGAGGTTAATTTTTCGTTAAAATTTTATCGGAAAATTTTTATTAAATTTATTTTAACAAAAAATTATTGTCTAACCAAAATATTTATCAAATCACATTTATCAAAATTGAAATTATTTTCTCTAACATTTTCTTTATCATTTATAGTCGCTATGGTATGAAGTTTTCTGAATTATCGATACGATTATTTTGGTCATTCGCTGTAGGCATTTTATTCGTTGGTGCAATTATTGGTGCTACAGTAACACCATCGATAGTTAATCGTATTGGATCACGACGATCATTTATAATTATTGGAATTGTTGGTTTTTTTTTCGTGAAATTCATGTCATTATTTTTAAATGAAATATGAATAATTCGAAAATATGTTATTTTTATTACTTTATGATAATTCGAAATTATCGAGCCGAAATATTTAACTACCTCAAATGAAATCTAAAACTTTTTGCTACAACTATTTTGGAAACTAACCGATCATTCTTATTTACTGGATAAATTATGGATATATCGTAATTTATTTTAATTTCCATGTAATAATGAATAAAAAATTTGGCACTAAATTTTTATCCAGTATTCTTTTGAGTATTTTATTTCAATTTTTTTTGAATTTCTAAATAAATAATCTATTTTAATTTATTCCCACAATTTCATCAAAAATATTTTTTAATTCTTAATTATCTTTTAATTTTTCGTTTTTGGTATAGTGGCAATATTTAAGACAAAAAATTATTTACACTTTATTTTCATAAAATTTAAATAATTTCTTGTGAATAAAAATTCAAATAGAATTATTAATTTCAGTTAATGATTATTGGACTTTTATTTTCTCCTTTATCACAATATGCAAATATTGCGGAATTATTTATCCTTTCACGATTTGTCGTAGGTATTTTTGTCGGTATGTGTACAACTGTTCAAGGCGTATTTTTGACCGAAATTAGTCCAGGTAATTTAATAATTATTATTCATAGAATTATTCCCAAAAGTTAATTATATCACTTAATATATGGTACATTTTATAAGCGATGGGTTGCAGCATATTTGAAATGTTTGTTTCACGTTTAGTTTCCGCAGTTTGCAAAAAATATGCACATAATTATCAAATATAGATTTATCGATTAAATTTGATTCATTTTCAAAAAAAACTAATTTTCAGCTAATTTTTATTAATTGAAAATGTTTTCATCCGAAACTGTGCAATGCATGACGACGTTTCTTCCATCTTCCTAATTCAATTTCATTTAATTTTTAAGTCAATTATATTTTTCGTAAAATAATTCTACACGTTTCAAATAGCAAAATTTATTTTTTTTTAAAAAAAGCAAAAGTTTCTCAACCAAAAATTTAGCTCTTTTTTCTTCCTCCTAATAAAATTACGAAATTTCTAAATTGAAAAAGTAGATAATTTTCTTCATTGACAATTTTATCAAAAATTTTCGAAATAAGTGACATGTTTTAAAGTGTCATGTTACTGAAAATTTTGTTATCATTTTAATAGCATTTGTTTATCGACATCTGCCTTAATTCTATTATATCATAGCAGTCAATTTAATTTATCGGTTTCCATTTCCAAATTCATTTCTCTTATTTTCATAGTTTGTTTTCGTGGCCTAATGGGTACATTAACTGGCTTATCCACTAATATTGGTGCATTGCTTGCATTGATGATTGGTTTGCCACAAATTTTTGGTACCAATAATTTATGGCCTTATGGTTATTATGTGGAAATGATTCCATGCCTAATGCTTGTATGCTATGCTATTTTCTTCCTTCATGAAAGTCCATTTTATTATTTGAAACGAATGGATGAAAATGCTGCAAAAAAAGTAATACAATTTTACGGTCCAAAAAATGATTGCCAAATTAATGAACAAATTGAAAATTTCAAAATACAACAAAGAAATGAAAGCGAAGTAAAAGAAATTAATTGGATGAAACTTTGTCATGACAGGTTATTTCTATTAATTTACTGTTGTAATCTTTAACCTTAATTAGTTTGATAATTAAAATATGAAATGAACATGGTCTGCTAAATGTTTACAAATTAAAACTTCATATAATGGTAATTGTTTGAAATAGAAATGTTTATAAATTAGTAAGAAAAATATTGTAAAAAAATTTGAATAAGTTAAAAGTCTTGTAGAATTTATGAAAAGAAAACATAAGATTTGCTTCAAAAAAAATTACAAATAATGCTTTTATTGCATTTTATTGATCAAGCTAATATTATAAAAAATTTCTGAAGAAATATATTGCTGAAATATAGCAAAAACGATTGATTCTTTTGTTTCTTCAAAAATTTTAAGATAGTTGCTTTAGTACTATTAAAAATTAGCAAAATTTATTAAATGGAATAACAAAAGTAATATTTTAGAGCAACTGGTAAAGCGTTATTCCTCTCAGTACTTTTGAATTGTACGGTAAGCTTTAGTGGCATAATGGCAATGACATTTTTTGGGACAGCTCTTCTTAGTTCAGCCGGTTTCACAACAACCGATGCATCATTAGCAAATTGCTTTGCTGGACTAGCTGGTACAATTGGAATTCTTATTCAGGCTATCACAATTGATAAGGTTTTATTTTTTTAATATTTAAAAACGACCAATCAAAAAAAAAAATGTGTTCCATTTTTGTTACACATTTGACAGATGCTATATAAAAAAATCACTTTTCTTCGTTTTTGTTGATATAGTTTTTAATTAATGAATTAAGATAATTTTAGCATTATGCAAAACATTGTGCAACATCTAATCAATCTATTGTTTTTTAGGAAAATTGCTACTGTATGGCAATATTAATTGGTAATAATGAAGACATTTTTTTCTAAATTATCAATTTATTTCTTTTAAATATAAAATAATCAATGAGGAAAAAAAAGTGTCTTCCTCATTCTTTTCATTTAGATTGGTCGACGTTTTCTGCTTCTTGGAAGTTTGATTAGTTTAACAATGGTAAATATTGGAATGATGATATTGGTTTGGGTCTTTCAACAATATCATTACAATTGGCTCGGCTATTGCTTCCTTTTTCTCTTTGCATTATTTCTATTCCTTTTTAGGTTTATCATTTTTTCAAATGATGATAAATTGTTGATTTTTTGCTAGTCTATGTCTAAGATCTTTAAATTAATTACTATCTTTCTGTAGGCATTTTTTAATTTTAGATTATGATTAAACCATTATTGTTATTATTATCATTATTAGTTACTACTATTGTTATTATTATTAATTATTATTATCTATTGTAGATACCGGTAGATGCAATCGAATTTATTGATAGTGCTAAAGAATACTTTCCGGATGCAACTCTTTCAATTGGCTGGACAAAAAATAATTTATCGGAACTGACAATCCCACAAATGAAGTCTGTAATTTTACACTTTAAATTAATTAATGATTAATTCAAATCAATAATAATTGATATATAGAAAAGTATTTATTAAATTTTCGGATTAATTTATTCTCACCTAAGTGATAACTTTTTTAATTATTGCAGTAATTAGCTGGTTCATTTTTAATTACAATTTCATATTTTACTTTACAATATTCAGCATTGGTTGGCGCGAACTGTTTCATGTATTAGCACTTGTAAAAGAAATCGACCAACCGCTTGTGCTAACAATTCGACTTAGTACGGTAAGTTGTATTTATTTTAGTAAATTATCTAAATGAGAATAAAAAGCTTATCTATCTTTTTCATTTGTTAACACGACAGTGTTGTTCCTTTTTTTAAGCCTATAAAATTTCGCATTAATTTGATTTATCATTAAAATAGCAAATCTTAACATTTTTTTAATCAATCGTCATTAATACTTCATTTTTTCTCTATATTAATTATTAGTTGAAGTTTAAAATAAATCACGCTAAGAAGTTAATCTAAATTGAATTTGAATTCAGATCAAATTTAATTGTCAAATTATATTCATTTATGAATTTCGTCTCTCTTGATAACCAATGTAACCTTTTTTTTCGGCGTATAATTACCACAGATTAATTTGACATGTTGTTAAAATAGGAAAGTCTTACCTTCATAATCTTCAATTCAAATAAATTTTTCATTTTTTTCCTTATCATTTCCAGGCTGCTTATTCAATTAAACAGGTTGAATTTATTTTGGGCATACGACCCACAATTTCTGCATTAATTTGGAGTGATGAAATGGACTCGATAAAAGATTGGTACGAAATAATTAACCTCCGATCTGGCGTGTACTCCAAACGTTTAGTATTCGATTTACATGCTAAACATCGAAACATCTTGAAAATGCTTCCATATTCTATCGTTATGGTTAATATATTATAAAATTTTTTCAAATTGATAAATCGCAATTAAATTTATTAGTTTTACAAACTTTTTTAATATAAATGATTAATTAACCTTTTTATCAATAATGATTTTAATATCACTTTTTAATTTTAACATAATGGTATCAACTAGCTAAGTAAATAGTGTAATAACAATTACAAATTATTCAATAATTGATGCAAATAATTCACTGTTTTAAGAAGCAAAAAAAGAACAACGTTCAAAATTTTAATTTTAAAATTGAATTTCGAATTTAAGTACAGTATTTTTTAGAGTGAATCGGAATTTAATCGAAGCCATTGGAATTTGATAGAATTTCCGTCTGTTTTTGCTCAGTCATCTGGAGCGATAGTAAGCGATGAGGGTGTTGCATTTCTCGGTTGGCCAACGGCATTTCTGATCTCACTAATGCAACCGTTAGTATTTCCTGATATTCAACGGATAACTGCTAAGGTTTCCTTTTTCTGCTATTTCAAGTTTTAAATTCAAATTCAGTCTAATTTAATTCTTCACTACTCAATTTTTTCGTATTAGCTTTCATGCTCAATTCCTTGCTAAGAATAGAATTTAATACTTTGCTGAAAAAATTGATGAAATAATTATTTATAGTATTACTTATAATAAGACATTGAAAAAGATAATAAGAAATTGTTTTATACATTAAAAATTATTTTAATTTATAGAATTGTATTTGATTAATGCTTATTTTATATTTAACATTATAATTTGCTTGTTTTATTTTCCTGTAGTATTTTTGCAAGATTTACTAAATTTTCCATTATTTGAATAAAGCTAAAACATTTCATTACTTTTTTCAGCTATACAATTGGTAATTTTAAGAAAAAAACTTTTCATTTTTTATTTGAGACCAAGTTGGAATTTCGATTTTAATTATCTTAACATAATTTACCAAATTTCAGTTAATATTTGTAAAAAAGAAACAAAATATTAATGATGATTGGCTGAAGCATAGCGGTTTCGTGATATATCTATTGGAGAAGGTGCTCGATCTTCAATCACCTGAGATTACTACTGGTATAAAGGTAAATAAAATATTCATTTCCTTGAATACTTACTTTTCTCAGAAAGTTTTATTTAACAGTGATTCAATTTATTAAATATAACTAACTGCAACAATTTTGCCTTCAAAACAGATAGAAAAAATTTATACATTTTGAGAGTGCACATAATATATTTTGAAAATTTACATTATTTTTGTGAAAATTTTAATTGTTTATGTATTAGATGTATTCATTCTATTATTAATATACTAAATATTTTATTCGGCACAAACTTTTGCTAAAGTTTTAAATATTAAATTTTTAAATTTTCATACGTTTATGAAATTGATTAAAATTGCTACTTCACCTTTTTGTATTTACATTCATAATGCAATCAAAAATCGAATAGTTATCATTAATTATATATTAATTATAATAATTGCTGCAATTTGATTTTAAAATTTTAAGATATTTATTGGTTATAATGGTCGTTTGTCCATTGAAAATCGAGGAAAGCAACATAATTACTACAATATGAAAGCAGCGGGACAGGCGCGCCATGATCAAAACTGCTATGATGTCGAACTTATTGACAGGTTATTTTATTTGATTTTTTCTTTTCAATTCTTTAATTTTAAAATTAAGTGCATTTTCAGTGTTTTATAATGTGAGGAAATATTAATCAAATTAACTTTCAGAGGTTGGCAAGTAGAGCTTACTGTTGGAGGAAATAATTGTCAGGATGGAATGTTGAAAAATCCAACAAAAATTACTTTAGAAATATCATTAACAAAGTAAGGCTCAAGTTACTGAAAAATTTTATTTCCTTTTTTTTTTAAGTAACCTTTTATGATAACTTCTTATTATAAAAATTCAAAAAACAATTTCAGAATCAAAAATTTTAAAATTTTAGAGTTATGAAGTAGAAAATACATTTATGAATTACAAAAATACGCAGTAACTTTTTACATTTTTCTGAAGTTTGAATCAAAATTTCACCGCACATATAAATTTCAGAACACGGCAATTACGTAACGTGATTGTTTCGAAAACAGGTGATGGAAATTTAGATTTGATTGTACGTGATCTAAAACATTCCTCTTCAAATCGACCTCAACTTTATTTGTACTGCTTATTTGCTATGTTCAGTATTGCTAGGACTTTCACATAATTTTCAAATTTCTCTTTGCTTGTCTTTTAATTGTTTAATTATCTTCCTAACTTGTAAATGCAAATTATAGAACAAAACACAAAAAAGAGGAAGGAGAAAAATCGAAACTTTATATCTTAGTTATATGAAAGAGAATTTCTGTTTTTCTATTCAAATTCTTTTTCAATTTATTCGAAAAAAAGTCTGTTTGGTGAAAACGTTGTGCTAATTATTGCCATTTATTAGCAAGCAGCATTTATGAACTTCTTGAAATTCTTTTAACTTGCTTTTGTTTTTTTTTTATTTGAAATTATTTATTTTTCTATTTATTTTTCCAGTCATTTTCGGTGATTTTTTTTCTTCTTAAATGTTATGCATGCATTTCATTAATGTTTACAATACTCTAATTTTAATCGAAGGATTTAATTCTTGAATATCGACATAAAAATCAAAGAATATGGGTAGTTTTTTTATCGGATCACATACAACGGTATTTATGTAAGACCCATAATTTGTGCTGCTAATTATGCTATCAAAAAAAAGCATCTCGGCATATGTCGCTCATTTTATGCTTTAAATTTTCATCGCACAATATAAATTTTATCTTTTAAACTTTGCATTTTAAAAATACACTTAAAAGTAATAAAACTTTACTTATATTCTGTAAATAAAGAAAAACATTATAAGAAGAAAGTACAATTGTACTTCATGGTAAAACGAAATTTATACGGGTTTATTTAAATTCAAATTAAAAATTTCCATCCGATCAATGGTAATCATTGTTAGAATGCTTTCAATAAATCCACGTTAACAGATGTCCAATAGGAATAGGAGGAATGATATTGGCTAAGTAATCGAGCAATCTTGACTGACCAAATGACCAAAACAATCGTCCATGGCACCAATGATTAACACATAAATTTGTTTACCAATAATTAATGAAATGTTTTAGTTGTATTATCGTATAAATAACAAACAAATTGACTAAATGCATCATTACAATGAAGCATATCAATGTCAACTTTAGATTATAATTTAATTTTAACACCAGCAAATCATTAATGATTTTTAAACATTTTCATTTTAGATGCAACCATTGTTGAGACCTAACAAATAACAGAGGGATATGAATTGATATCATAAATAAATTTGCATATTTCATATCATAGCAAATTTCAAATATGATTATTATCAAAAAATAAACAAAAAAAGAAAGGAAAAATTTGATAAAAAATTGATCGGTACAGAAAATTGAACTTGCCCTATTCATTCAGCAAATGAAAAAAAGCAATTGTTACTGTTAATGACAAAAATTTTAAAAGAACAATTTTGTTGAGAAGGAAATCTTTAAAAACAATTTTATTGAGAAAAATAAAATGAAAATACATTATTTGATACATGTAAACAAACCCTTTTGCTTGATATTCAATTAATTTAATCGATGAAAGAATGAAATGAATTTTTTTCGATTCATAAAAGCTTTTTTACAATCGAAAATTTTCATGTTTTTGTTTTTTCCTGAAAATGTTACAAGATTATGAAAAATTTTGTTTAATTCTTTCTCATAAAATCTTTTTTAGAATCTGAACATGAATATCTGAAAATTGCGTAAAACTTATTAAAATTTTTACAATTTATAGTTATATTGTCTAAAAAATTCTGCGCTGGAAAATTACTCCAGGGTGTGAAGCAATCACTCTGAAAGCTTTCCTGTTTTTTCTTCCTTTCGGAAAATGTTAGAATGAAAAATCTTAAAAGAAGAAAATAAGGTTTCGCAAGGAATCATAAAAATTTTAGCTGACAATCTTTGACCAGAGAGAGAATTCTTTCGTTAAAAGAATGTTACGTTATTTAAGCAAAATTTTTTCAAATCACATATAAGAAGAGACGAAGTAAGCAGTTCGTCATCAAATAACGCGACAATTACAATAAACGTAATGTAGTTTGGGTGTATCACGTATATCCGATGTGTGGTATCAGTGAAAGTAGTAATGAGTGATCGGATATTTATATCACTTCAACGCAAATAGAGTCCTCTGAAAAGACTTCAGGCTTTCATCAACTTTGGGTCTAATGAGCGAAGTGAATAAATAATATGGGTATTTTTTCTTCATTTAGTGGGATTTTTCGTCTCAATTAAATTTAAAATTTGGAAAATTTCGATATTAATATTGCGTATTTCAGTTATGTATTGCAAACTTATCCTCCCATTTTGTATGCTTTTATCAGTAGTAAATGCAATGTATTTGGTGGATTATCGGCAGCAAATGTATCCACCAGTCTTGCAACCATACAACATAGAGCGACAACCATACAACCTGGGTCTGCAACCATACAATCTGGGACTGCAACCATACAATCTGGGACTGCAACCGTACAACCTGGGACAGCAATCTATTCGACAAATACAACCACCAGGCAGACCATGGCAATATATTCAACCCTCGCTACCGTCAGCTGTGCAACCAGAATATGTGCAACCGAAAGGTATTCTACAATTATTAATCTTACAGTTTTCCACTGTGATTCAACAGTGGTTCCTTAAATTCAAGAGAATTTCAAGAAGCATCTCAGATTTTAGTTATTGATAAAACATGTGACGGCTGCATAATAACTGTAAATTGCGGTGGCAAAGACTGTTTGCCGACGAAACAATCAACAATTTGGATACCACCCACACGAGAACCAATACGTTTGACGCTGCCACCCGCACCAAAGGCAGCTTGGACTTTCGAAACGAGAACAACGCAAACTCCGAAACCAACATCGAGAGAGTGTCGTATGTGTCCCTGCTACGCACCTCAGCAGTGTCAAATGTGTCCATCATGTAAATGAAAATTATGACCGTTTTATTCAACTATAGCTAAAACAAAAAATATTTTTTATTGTTCAATAAACCGATTTAGTAATAAACTTTGTACAAACATATGATAGAATACAGTTTTAATGACACAGATTTGATTTTTGAAAATTTAATTCCATTGCGACAAGTGATTTAGCATATTTTTCGGGAATTCCAAAAACAAATTGGGAATAGCTGCCACAAAAAATAAAATGTTATTAAGTATGTTGAGGTATTTCGACATGAAATATTTAAGTCTGCATTATTCATTTCTACCAGATGTTTAACCTATCTCAGAAGTGACATGAAAGTATCATTAGTAAAAATTCTAATGTTCGCAAACTACCATATAGTTTCTTAAATGAT